GAGAGAGAGAGAGAGAGAGAGAGAGAGAGAGAGAGAGAGAGAGACAGGAGAAGCTCACACAGAATACAGTCTTCTAATGCTAGGGAATCTAGATTTTATTCTAAGCATGAGGAGGAGTCACTGAAGTGATATGATACTAATTATGATTTCTTTTGGAGATAGAGTCTTATGCATCATTGGCTGACCTCCCACTTGATATGTAGATGAGGATGACCTTGAATTTTTAATCCTCCTGCCTCTACTTCCAGAGTGCTGGGATATGGGTGTGGGCCACCATACCTAGTTTATATGGTGTGGGGACTTGAGCCCAGGACTTTGTGTGTGCTAGACAAGCACTCTACCAGCTGAGCTACAGTCCAGCCCCTTAATTACATTTTCAAAAGACTGGTCTGGTTTCTGTGTGAAGCACAGATGTCATGGGGAAAAGATGAAGCACAGAGTCCACTTAGGATGTGCTGTAGTCTAGGAGAGAAAAGTCAGTGGTCTGGCACAGATAGTAGCCACAAAGGCAGTAAGAAGTGGTAGCCCGTGGGATATAGTTTGTAGATAGATTAATGTTATAACTTGCTGAGAGTTTGGATGGGGGGTGTGGTAGCCAGGTTTCAACCATCCTCACTTCCTGGTTAATGTCCTCGTGAAGTCTTTCCGGAGCCACACTGAATTGAAGTGGCCTGTGTAATTGATGGAGCATTACAGAAATGGTAGAGGTGACTTCTGTGTCTTAGTTGTGAGATAGCGTGACTCTTGCTTTGCTTCCTCTTGAGTCACTTGCTTTGTGGAGAGCCAGATACTATGCCATGGGATGCTTCAGCAGCTCCCTCTAGCAGTCCATGCAATGAAGAACTAAAGTCTCTGACTAGAAATTGGCAGCCACGTAGCAGGCATATGAGTGAGCCATCTTTTTAACACATCTTTCAGCCTCAGGACTGCATCCCTGGCTACCACCTTGACTGCAACCTTAAAAGAGACCCTAGTCAGAGTCAGTTGTGCACCAATCTCTGACCCACAGAAAATACATGGGATAATAAATATCCATTGTGATTTTTAAATTGCTTATGTTGAGGCTATCTGTCATGCAGCAAAAGGAAATCAAGGACAGAAAGAGCAAGGAGCCTCAGACTACCTCAAGGTTACAGCCTAAGCAACCGGTTGTGTGATGGTAGCATAGAAATTGGGAAGACAAGGAACTAGTTGGTTTGAGGGGGACAACTGAGTATTCTTATTTGGATAGGCTGTGTTTGCCCTATTAGATATCGAGATGAAGATGTTGAATAAGCAATTGAATGTATGAATTTGAAGCTCAGAGACATGAGTTAGGCTAATGGTACATATTTGAGGCTCAGAGATACATGTGACATATGACACTGTGACAATGAATAGAATCACCCCAGACAGATAGCTAAGAGGTTCAAAGGCTGAGTTCTGGAGATTTAACACTGAGAAGTGAAGAGGAGGAGGGGCAGACATAAAGACTGATAGTGCAGTTGGGAAGTATCAGGATGGTCAGTGGAAGATGGTGTTCTCGAAGCCGGGTGAAAAAGGCATTTTGAGTTGACTGTCATTACCTGGATCAAAAGTCACCAAAAAGGCCAAGATGAAGATATCTTCTGCTCACTGGGTTTGGCAACACAGAAGGACTTTAACTTTGACAAATGTAGTCTTCAGTGAGAATCTGGGGAGGGGAGTCTGATAGGTGTGTGTGGGAGAAACTAATGGGAGAAGAGACAGAAACAAGCAAGGCAGCTTGTTTTCAATGAATCTGCTGTACAGGTTGAGGAATTGTTATGAAAGGACAAAGTGAGACCACTTCTGACTTGAGGTCCTTGGACAATTGAGAGTGGATATGCACACAAAGGCAGAGGGTGAAACTTGGTAGAAATGTGGTCCCTCATCCATTCTAAGATAAGGGAATATGTGTGCAGTATAAGCAGGTTAGAAGTGGTGATGCAGATGATGGAATGGGATGTTATCTTCTTTATGCAAATTTAGCATCTTGGAACCCAGATCAAATTACAGAGAGAATTTCGTACACCAGCAATGCCTGCAATATCTGATAAACATCATAAAACTAAGTAGGAATGTACTGACATCGTTAAAAACACAGAGAAGTTATTATGGTGACATTTTAGTTCTAAAATATTAGGGAAAGATTCCAACTTTATTTTGGCACTGTAGCCTTAGTTTGCATTTTTCCTTAAACAATATGAAACAAATCTTGGTTATGATGTTTTGTATTTCTGTTTATTATCACCATGAGGTAGACACATCCATTTTTATTTTGGTGTATGTTTTATGTTGTGGTGTGTATGTGAGGCGTGTGTGTGTGTGTGTGTGTGTGTGTGTGTGTGTTCACTATGGTGTGTGTGGTGCATGGGAATGTGAAGGTGTATGACCCATGTGCACACATGTGCACACATGTGGAGGCCAGAGAAGGACACTGGTTTTCTTCTGTCACTCTTCACCTTATTTCCTTAGGACAGTGTCTCTCATGGAACTGGAAGCTCAAGGTTTCATCTAGTCTGGCTGGGCAGGAACTCTAGGTACCAGCCTGTTTCCACCCCACAGTGCTGTGGTTATGGTTACAGCCATGTATAGCCATGCCTAGATTTTTATGTGGGTGCTGGGGATTCAAATTCAGCTCTTATCCACTGAGCCATCACTGCACCTCTTCAACTACTGTTTTATTATGTACTGTGTCACTTATATTACTTTCATCTGTAGTATAGCCATACTGGAAAGCAAGCTTTTATCTATCTGTCTATCTATCTATCTATCTATCTATCTATCTATCTATCATCTATCATGTCTTCTATCATCCATCTATCATCTATCATCTTTCTATCATCTATCTATCTATCTATCAATCTATCAATCTATCTATCATCAGTCTATCTATCATCTATCATCTATCTATCATATGTCTTCTATCATCCAAAGGTGGTAGAAAATCATGGTTAAGAGCAGGGTGGACCTGGAACTGATTCAGTTCAAATCCTTGTTTTGACCCTAATTTTATTTCTGTTTCTCACCTGGAAAATGAGATAAAATAGTAATATCTACATAGCATTATTGTAAAGATTAAAAAAAAAACCCTATCTTTGAAATAGGTTTATGGCACCAACAATAAGCATTATCTATTATTCCAATCGGCATCATTACATTTGCTGAAGACCACCAGGTCAGCATATCTTACTTGCACTGTTGTGATTGCATCCTACCTGGACACAAAGCTTTGCCCTTTTAGAAACCTTTCTTTACACGGATACATCAGTAGTTGCCATTATGCTAGAATGGTCCCTAACTTCTATGTCCTGTTCCACAAGGCTTTGCATGTCCAGCCCATCTAACTCTTCAATCTCATATCATGTAACATCCCCTAGTTGACTTAAGGCCTGAGCTGTCTAGCATTGGTAGCCCATTAAGTCCTTTGTATTTGTCCACTTCTAAATGAACTTTGCTCTATGTATGCAATGTATATCAAAGTCCCAAGACTTGGTGTAAAGTAGAGCATTTGAAATATGACACTAATTACACAAAATTTGCATCTTAGATGATAACATTTTGGATCTATATCGTAAAAGAACACACATTAGATTAATTTTGTCTGTGTTACTTATTTTTTAAATCATCTATCTATCTATCATCTATCATCATCATCTATCTATCATCTATCATCTATATCTATCTATCTATCATCTATCTATCTATCTATCTATCTATCATCTATCTTTCTATCTATCATCTGTCTCATCTATCTATCTATCTATCTATCTATATCTATCTATCATCTATATCTATCTATCTATCTATCATCTATCTATCATATCTATCTATCTATCTATCATCTATCACCTATCTATCTATAGGCAGGGACTCACTACGTATCCCTGAGTAACCTGGAATTCACTATGTAGACAATATAGAACACACTGGCCTTGAACTCACAGAGATCCTCCTGCCTCTGCCTCCTGAGTGTCTGGATTAAAGGCGTGCACCACCCCCACAGTGAAAGCTTATTTGGGGACTTATTTTTTTTCTTTCCTGGGACAGGAGGTAGGTATGACACACCTCATTGAATACAGTGGCTTCCATTGTGTTCACATAATGTGACAGACATTTGTGTCATTCCTAAGCTTCATGTCCCAGCAGAATTGGGTTTGGTTATCCTTACTTTCTTTTTCAAAGATTGAAGATAGAGGAAGATTAAGCCATGTAGAAAAACTGGAATTTATTGTCAGACTGGGATGTTATGATGACCAGTACCCAGGTGAGGCAGTGCAAATCCCACGTAGCAGATGACTTGTCCCTGTCCTTACCGATGCTTCCTTGGTGTTAGTCTCCTCTGATGCTGACTTGGCAACCTTCTGAATGATGGGGGCAATGTTGGTGGGTCCATAGAGCTGGAGCTTAGGAAGACAGCTCTGGTAGGCCTCCACAACTCCTTGAATTCCTAAAGAGAAATTGGCAAAGAGCAACAGTTCCATATAGTCCCTTCAAATATATTTGTTATCAAACACACACAAAAATAAAACATTAACTTTCTCCAGTGAGCCCTTATCAATACCACACTTATATATTGAAGATAAAAAGCAATACTATACCAGTTATGTTGCTGCCCCAGTGAAATCAATCTCCACAATGAGTCAAAAGCTATCATTTCCACAGAATTGTCTGCACATAAGATTTTATTAGATCTTCAGAGTCTAATGAAACAGATCTTAAATCTATTTTTATAGACCAAGAATCGAAGGCTTAATGTTACATGGTCTGCCCTAGGTCACAGAGAGGGTGAGCTGCAAACTCAGGACATAAACCCAGGCCATCTGGCTCTAAGAACCTCTAAGCAAGTTGGTGCCAACGGTCTGGATTCATACCATGTTATTGATTTTATAGTATATACCTCTTGTACTGCCTGTGATTATCATGTGTACATGTGATCATCTCTCCAGATATTAAAACTCCCTGAGGGCAACAATTATGACTTCCCACTCACTTCTGTATCCCCACCAAGGAGCCTATTAACTTTGTTGAGAACACACTAAGTAAATAATGAATGAACAAACGGCTGGCACATGCATTGACAGGGAGTTATGAGAAGTGACATCAATCTCATTTAAAGGAGGGCATTCAGGAGGGAGACATGGCTCAGTGGTTAAGAACACTGTTCTTACAGAAGCCCTAGGTTCGAATTCCAGCACCCACATGGCAGCTAACAACTGTCCATAACTCCAGTTCCACAGGATCCGACAGCCTCTTCTGTCCCCCTTGGGCATTGCACGACATGGGTGCCCTTACCTACATGCAGGCAATACATGCAGACACATAAAATAAAAATAATAAAGTATTTTTTTTAAAGGAGGGCATTCATCCTGGGATCATGTGATCCCAGGAAATAGAAAAGGCTGGGACTCTGCTGGGAGAGGCGACTCTGCCTGTGCAGTAATCCAGGTGTGGCAGGATGGGTTTTGGCCACATTTCATGCTCCAGTCTGGTCCCATAGAAGACCATTATAAACAAATTGCCATTAGAGATTCATTTTACTTGATGGATGCTCATGATGTCTGTGCCTGTGTTACTCCTGCTTTCCCTTTCATCTTTCTTGACACCCAAACAGCACTGGTCTTGATTTTGACCACAGGGATTCACGAGTCACCCCTGACAGTGTTCTGCATAGCCACTACGCACTGCAGATCAGCTTACTGGCAACTTGGATGAGAAAGTTCTGTTCTGCTCTGCTGTCTATACATTTCCAAACTTATTAGAAATGCTCCATTTAGCTCACCCTGCCAAAAGCACAGATGCCAATCATTCCACAGGCAGATGCAACATTTCACAGTGGAGTTTGGTAGCTAAGTGGTTCTGAATGGAAGTTCCTCGTCTCTTTTGAGAATTTTGGTTCTGAGTTTTTGCCTAAGGTAAGCAAGACTGATTTCCTTTCCCAAAACACCAGGCAGATGAACTCAGAGAGTGTGAAACGGTAATGAATGGGGTATGTTTTACATTCTCCTTAAAGAATGGGGATGTCTGGAGAAGAGGATATAGCCTAAGCCATAACAATCTGGGGGTGAGAGACATGGGGAGAGATTGCTACCTGAACAAGGACAAGGTCATAGAGGATTCTGTGTTCAGACCCAATGATATTTCTATTATAGACTTGGGTATTAAGTGCCAAGTTTGTGAAAGAAACTATAGAGTGCTCTACTCCCCTTGCTATGTCTGAATTAATCCTGGAACAGCTCACTTCCTCCTCCAGAAGAGGGAAGAGACAAATATGGACACTTATATTCTAAAAATAACTTTTCCTCACTCACAGCCTCAGAGGCACTTGGCTCTATTTGTTACTTAGAAAACAAGAAAAGTAATTAGAAAACAAAAATGTATCATAATGGTCATTGCGGTCTTGGCATCATTATTTTGAGGAATCATGGTCAGGAATTTCTGGCTAGAAAAAAAACCAACAAAAAACACGGACTGGACTGAGACTTTTAGCCTTTGAGCTCCTTTTCCAAGAAGGCTATGGAAACACTTGCTCACACTCACTGAGGCCACACCCTTTGCCCATGTGCTAGAAGTGTCAAATGATTTCCATGTTTCCCCCTCTCCTTAAACCTGCATGGGGGATGGGGATGGGGGTGAGGGTGGTAGGAGAGCTTGGGAAAAAAAAACTCGATGGATGAAAACTTACAAAGCAGAAAGAGGGATATCTCGTGATGGTCTATCATGGGAAAGAAATTGTCCTAATTTAAAACTTAATTAAATGTATTTTGGCTTAACTGGGTATGGCAGTGCATGCCTTTAATCCCAGCACTCGGGAGGCAGAGGCAGGTGGATCTCTGTAGATTAAGGCCAGCCTGGTCTACATAGGGAGTTCCAGGACAGCTGGGGCTACAGGGTGACACTTATCTCAAAAAAAAAAAAAAAATTATTTTGGCCAGAAGAAGTCAGGGTGGTGCTGTAAGTGCAAGATCGTGTCAGTACTCGGTCTCTCCTGGGGCTTATTTTCCTGCAGTTACTGTGGTTCTTTGTTGTTTTTGGAGCACTGTGGTTTATTTGGATCCACAGAGCCACTTCTGTGCTGTAGACAGGATAACTGATATGCTACATCCCTGCAGAAAAACTGGACCAGGGAAAGGCATACATGGACTGGCTCTACCACGCTGGCTTCCTCTCCCATTGTGATTTACCTGCACATTCGGGGTTGTCTTCATTAAAGTTGATTGCAAAGTCATGAGAGACCTAGACACCAATTAAAATTTTAGAAAAGGAAGAAAGGAGAATTACAATTTTAATCTAGTAAGGAGGCACTGGGGTTTAGGGTTTGCAAACCAATTCAGTTACATTCATTATGTGTTAAACAGAGGGGAACATCTTAAGCCATTATACAATCAATCTGAGATGGAGGGTGAATTCTCAGCTCCCTGTGAACCTGAGGTGACAGGAAGATTTTCAAGAATCAGATAAATGCTGGCAGGAGGGGAGAGAGTGAAGCATATTAAAAAAAAAAAAAGATTTCAGGGGCTAGAGAGATGGCTCAGCAGTTGAGAACACTGGTTGTTCTTGCAGAAGACCCAGGTCCGAATCCCAGCACCCACATGACAGCTAGCAACTGTCCATAGCTCCAGTCCCAGGGGATCCGACAGCTTCTTCTGTCCTCCATGAGTATTGCATGACACGGGTGCACTTGCTTACCTGCAGGCAATACACATATACATATAGCATAAAAATACTTAAAAAAAAAAGATTTCAGAAAGTTGTAACTCCAAATAGTTTCTAGATACAAATGGTCACTGACTGAAGGCTTAGATTTAGATTTGGGTAAGGTCTTATTTGGACCCATTGGGTTTAAGAAAAAATAATTTAATCAACTAAGCTGTCTGCTGGACACGGTATTGCTTATAGAGGCTCCAGCTAAGCTGTTGACATTTAGGAATCGTTCTAACAGATACACAGAATTACAGAGCAGGAAGATTTTCATGTACACACAGATAAAAGAGAATGCATTTTATTTTTGAAAAACAAAGTAACATATGCTGTAATCTTCCAACATAATCCTCCTGCCTGGCAAGGTCTATGCATTAAATTAGATAACATACTAATTAGTATTTCCTTCCCCAGAAAATTCTGATAAAAGAAATGGAATATTCTGATATCTGTATGTTTTTATCGTTTTTATCAAATCGTATAGAATGTCATGGAACATTCAATTTCAAAGGAAGTTTCTGACTGCTGACTCTCTTGGGTGCTAAAAACCAGGCCACTGTGTTGAAAGACAGGGCTTTTCTTAGTGGGAGGTCACAGGTGATGCAGCTGGAGTGGTCCTTTACCCTCGGTAGTTCTGGGCATGTCAGCCAACTTCCAACCACCCTGATTGATTCATTGACCTTAGAGTTTCCTCCGGCCTGCTCTGTCTGCCCAAGGCACATACTACATACACTGGCATTGGCGATATGGGTTTTCCCTAGGGACCTCTGAATGGCTATGTTTTGAGACCCTGGAGATCAGCTTTTTAAAGTGTTTGCTCAGTCTCTGACCATAACGGTAGTGACCAAAGAACCCTGTAATTGGACCTTTAGAAGACCTACGCAGAACACCAGGATTTCAACAAAGGCAGGCACAGAGAAGCTAATCTCACTACTTCTGAAAGGCATTTCACATCCTGGGCCCCACGACAATCATTACACGGAGACGAGAGTGAGCCTACTGAGAAGTCCAGCTTCCCCGCACACCTGGACCACGCACAGTGAACAGCCCCGCCTCCACTTACCGTGTACTCTGGGGGGATCCTGGCACCAAACCCAAAAGCTGGGAACATTTTGTCACTGGAATTAAAGTTAAAAAAAAGGAGTGAGAGAGAGAGAGAGAGAAAGAAAGTGCTTCATTTGTTCATCTACGAAGGAAAGAAGCATGAATCCGAGTATCCTTATATCCTCTCCAGGCGCAGTGCCAACCCAAGCACTGACTCACACTTGGTGAATGGCAAGAGCATGGGTAATTAAAATTAAGAAACAGTCTCTTAGGTTCGTCAAAGTCATTAGTATGTACCTTCTTCCCTTAATTTTCTTTTCTAAATTTGATAGCCAAAAGTAAAACGGCCCCAGAATTCACACACATCCCAATACGTATCCTGACATTCGGTCTCCTTGGAAAAGTGTTCAGGAATTTGGTGACTTCAAACAACGGCTGCATTAGGATCTTTCACACACATAATCTTTACAAACATTTTGAAGAAAGAGATTATTATTCCCATTTTTCATGTAGGCAGACACCTTGAGAAACAGCATCGCTTACTCAACACCATGCTGCTGATTAGAGCCACAGCTCAAATACAGACAAGCCAGCGTCCAAGGGGGGGTTAGTCCAAGGAAGGGGAAGCTTGTTAGGCTGCTACCCGAATAAGCATAGCTTCATCTGTAGAATCCATTGTAATATCCTGAGCCTCTCCATTTTATGTAAGTTTAACAGGTCAATCATCTGGTCATAGGACCACCCCTAGGAAGGTGGGTTATGCTAAATAGATGGGCAGAATACCTAGTGTGTTAATGAGATAATGAGTTTTTCCTGCCTGGAATCCCACCTACTAGCAAAGAACTCAGTGTAGAACTTCTGGACTAGCTACAGCCATGTAGTCCATGAATTTGTCCGCTTCCCTGAGTTCTTTAGGGAAGAGTGATTTCTCCTTTTCTTTATGACTCTCCAACATGCTTTCTTTAAGGCTTTGGGCTGCCCCTGGCATCTTGTATTTCTTTACTTTCTCTAAAGCTTCCTTCTCCCAGCCTTGTGACTGCCAGTCACGTGTCTGACCGCCATGCAGGCTGTAAACCTGCATCCATTCTCCTCCTCAAGGCAGCTACCAAGGTTACCAGCTATTTCTAATATCATTGTAAAAGCTTAATTCGGCTGGTTCAGAACTTTTTGAGTCTGGGTAATCTTTCCTGGTGGTCCTGAACTCTAACATTCTCACGTCTACAACTGTAACATATACATGAGCAGCAAGAAATTATTTGCATGTCTTTTTCCTGAATTCAAAGGGACCCTGTCTTTTTGGTGTTTTAGATAGGATCTTACTCCGTAGCCTAGATTGGTGTAGAATTTGCTCTGTAGCATAGACTGTCTTTGAACTCAATGGCAATCCTCCTGCTTCAGCCTTCCAAGTGCTGGGATTGCAGACATGCCATTGTGCCCAGCTGTATTAATATCTTTACATTCCCACTGCTCTTGACTCTTCCCACACCTTCATCATTGTATCTGCCATGGAACGTGTACTCAGGTCCATGATTAATAATCCGTGCAGTTTATAAAGCAGAATTATGAGAGTCACATCTGTCCTTTGGCTTGGTTTCTCTTAAAATCATTAGAAGTTATCTCTAAATTATAAATTCACGTGTATTGTATCTTAACTGAAACAGTACTGTACTATAGTTAAAAAAGGATGGGAAGGGAAGTACTACCATTGATTGACACATGCAATGTGACATTAGCCTAGATGCTGTATTTTACTTATTTAATTCTTACACAACCCTGGAAGTTCCTTTTATTCTTCTTAGAAGGACTGAGTGAGAGACCTAACCGTGATTACCAGAGAGGATTATGGGATTCCAAAGCCCATGTCTTTTCTAATTACTATTGTACTTTAATAACTATATGTAGTATTAACATCATTTCCTATTGGCAATTCTAGTACCCAGATCCCTGACTAGGCAACAAACAAGACCTTTCTTAAGCAAACTGTGCACTATCAGGAAGGCGTGGCAATGGGGCTCTGGAATATTGATCTTGGCAGAAGGCATGTACTTCCCGTGCCATTCACCTTGTTCTTCGTCTCCTATTAAGAACACAACTGACATTTGTTCTTGGAACAATTCCTACATCTTTCATTTCTTCATAGTGTTAGTCAAGGGAAAACAGGGAATTCAGATAAGGGGTCACCTCTGAATGTCTTCTGTAAACAAAAGAGGATATTAACCCTGGAGGAACAACCCCTACTTTCTGATTGACTTCAACAAATTCAAAGAAACTAAGCCAGATGAGATCTCATTCCTCCCTTCCTGATTTAGAAGTTGTTAACAACCAATGATGGTTTTGCAAAACTTTTCAAACACAGTCAATTCTAGCAATTTGGGGTTAGAGATAGAGAGAAGCCAGAAGTTTCCAAAGTTAAAGTTTAAATTCTCGAAAAGATTACTGGCTTCCTCTTGTCCTCACTGCTGTGTCAAGCCAGGCTCTGTTGTACATGGCACCTAGCATGTATTAGAGAAAATATCACTGCTGGTAAGTAGAGACTCACTACAGATTATAGAAGATTAGCCACAGAGTTGAGAAACGAAACAAAACAAAACACTTCTGGTCCTTGGAAGACTGAAAAACTTGGCCTCAGCAATTCCTCCTTGGCCTGAACAAGAGAAGTAGGTGAGGGAGAAAATCATCAGTCTAGAAGTAGACTTTCCTGGTTGGAGCAGAATCCTGGGTCTTCCACTTCACAGATGCCCCAAGGGTCAGAGCCAAGAAGATGTGAGACTGTACATCCTTGTTTTCTTCTTTGATGAGTTTAGGAGGGGTGAGACCTAGTATTCATTTCAGTCACTGAACCAGTGTCCCAGCCTTAGTGATATTCCTTTTATACCTGCTAAGCCACCCTTGGGGATTTGAAGCTTGCTGAGCTTCATGTACTATTATGTAATTGAGTTTCAAGAGTAGGACGGTAGGGAAAATGCCTCACCTACAAGGAGAATAATTAATGAGCTAGGAGAGCTGAGCTCCCTGAAGTTAACTACCATAAAGTGTCTAACTTATAAACGTACTAAAGAAAAACTCGGAGCCTTAGCACAATAGATTTAAAGTCCATTCTTCCAGCTTAAAAACAAAATCAGTCAGAAAGGAGTCTTGTGCAAGGATTAAGAGGAAGACAAGTTGAACCCAAATCAAGCATCAATATTCCAGTCCTTCAAAGAATTCAGCACTGGGTCCACTGGGCATTGAGCAAAAGGACCATTTAGCAAGTACTGGGAAGAAGATGGGCAAACACTGACAACCTGGAAATCCATGGATATATTAATTATCTAGCTGGTAAAGTCAGCACTTTTTACTGTCAAAATAAAACAATATAAACCACAATAAGAGGTTCATGTCCATCTGTGGTAATGAGGCAGCTGTCCTTAGCGTCATAGGAAATGACGAAGGCCAAATGCTTCCAGAGGGGAAATTTATTTTTAAGCGCATTTTCATCATTAAGGAAAACACTGAGCTAAAGCAGGATGGTAATAAAAGTCAAGCCAAATTACTGGATCTATAAGCCAATGGAAATCAACTCAGAGCAAGAGGCCTTTCAGAGAACCTGGGCAGTGATCTTGAACTGGAAGCACAAGAAACGCAGTGCCCTTCTGGGGACATGAAAGTGTGGCTTTAAAAAATAAATCAGTAGTCACTTCCTCTGCTTTCACACACATTCTCTGCTGAATTAGTCTTCTGGAAATATCTGTGATGGGAGGCCTGTTCTCTGTTCACACCTTTTATGTTGACTCTTCTCTTTACTTATTCTGAGTCTCAACCACTGTGCTGCACTGCGTCAGAGTACAGAGACCACAGGATCGAATACAGCAACAACTCTAAAGTGACTGATTCACTAGGAAACATATCTTTTGCCAGTCATGTCTTTGCTGATTTTCACTTAAAAAGTTGCTTGGAGGTGTAGCTCAGTGTTAGAATACCTGCCTACCATGTGTTAAGACTTCAACTTCAATACCTAGAATTGGGTGAAATAAAAAATCTGGGATGTGTTAATGTCAGTTAGTAGGCTATTAAAAATATATTTTGAGGGGATTAGAGAGATAACTAAGTGGTTAAGAGTGCTCTTGCAGAGGACCTGGGTTCAGTTCCCAGCACCCATACCAGGCAGCTTATAACCACCTGTAACTCACGTTCCAGAGGATCTGACACCCTCTTCTGGCCTCTGTGGGCACCTCGATGCACATAGTACACGTAAACTTATACAGGCATACACATATATAAACATGAATAAAAATAAATAAATATTTAAAAAGATATAATTTAATATACATATATATAGAGAGAGAGAAAGAGAGAGAGACTGTCCCGATGACTCATTGGGTAAATGTGCTGGTAACTTGAATTTGCCCGCTGAGACCCACATAGCAGAGGCAGAGAACTGACTCTTGAAAGGTGTCCTCAGACCTCCACATGCATACTGTGTCATGTACACAACACACACACACATACACACACACACACACACACACACACGAATAAATGTAATAACTTTTTGTATTATCAGCTATCGTATGATTTGGGGGGTTGTTATAAAACTTGGCATTGAAAGAACTAAGTAACACTGCAGCCAAAATCTATCTCCATGTATTTGTTTATAAGAACAAGTTTTTGTAGTATTTATATTGACAAAGACAAAAAATTGGTTAGAATTGATACTAGACACCACTATTCTGAGTGACAAGTAGCTCTCATTCACAGATATGTAAACTAAATGTGAACCCCTCTCCACACAATGTTTCATTAAGAGTTGATTTCCAAAACCTTTTTACTTCTTATAGGCAACAATTAAATACTGAAATTGCCAACATACGAATGTTTTTAGATCAATAATACATTAATAATAACTTTAATAAAAATTTAACCCAGAAGACATTTAAAATATTTTTAATATCTTAATCACAAAATATTTTATAAATTAAAAGATGAAATCTATACAGTATTCTTGTTTTCCTTGTAGACATGTATGATACAGTGATCAATAAGATGATTTCAAACAAAATTTATTATGATACATTAAGGGCTGGAGATGTAGCTC